CAAATACAGATGTAGTTTAATAGTAGTAGTTTTTTAGTAACAATATTAAAACATCTTTACCTACCGTAACTTACTGGAGATTCCCAATATCTTCTTCAAACAATCTTTTCCCGCCTTTTAACAGTTTCTCAGAGTCATTACCGAACTTTTTAGTGTATTCCTCTAATCTGATGAGCCATTGTGCCCAATGCTCCCTTAGTTTATCCGAAGAGAGGTGATAAACATCAGCTTTAGATCCATCTGTGTATGCTATGACTAATAAGGCGTCTCGCACGTTCAAATGTTTGTAGTTCAAGTCGTGGCATACTGCGCCATAGTAAGCAGCGAGTTGGACAGGATTGTCGTAAGTATTCGCTATCGATTTACGAGGCCTGTCCGATTTCTTCCATTCGATCAGAGTTGGCTTCTCCCTGGAATTAAGAAGTATATAAGTCAGTTAATGTCAAATCCTTCATTTTAATTCGCCCTCAAAGAGGTTTTTATAAATTAAAAAAATGTCTGTCAGTAAAGCTCAATGATTATCTATTTCTCATACTTGTGCAATAATGTGTAATAATATTTGTTATTGTTAATAAATAAAATTGCAAGGCATTGTAATAAGAATTTCTCTAATTTAATCAATAGATATTTTACACTTCGACACGACTGTCGACTTGACAAATTATTAATATTTTTATTGCGATAAAATAATATTCAAATATATCAATTTTTTTATATTAGGTATGCACACACAGACAATAACAATATCGAAAGCATTTTTAACTCTATTATTATGTAGTAAAATAGAAAATTTATTGGTTTAAATTGGTGGCAATGCAAACACAGATTAAATTGAGCGATCATTATTCGTTGTTACCAGATGGCGCCTCAAGCGACTTAAGTCCTACACATTTTATCAAAGTTGCTTTCTAAATATTTACTTAGTATTATTTACACCAGACAAAAGACTACAGATTTGGTTGCTTAAATAATCAATTTAAATATTCTATTAATAATTAGGAACAAAAATAATATGAAACTTTCAATCAACTGTTTAAAAAATATTAATTTTAAAAACATCTGTCACTTTCAACAAAGATCCTACATTCGACAGTCATGATGAATTACATTATTATTGAAATAAAACATCTGTGGTAAACAGTTGCTGGTAAATTTTCATTTAGCCCACTCAGAATTCTAATTCCGAAGAAAACATTAAAAACACGAGGAAGAAAAACAATCAAATTGCGCCGCAACTCATATTTTCTAACGAACGTCACTCGGACTATCAGTAAATATTCTTGTTTAAAACTACGTGCCTGCTACTGACGAATAGCTATATTATGTAGTATTGTCATTGTTATTTTTGATTCGTTCTAATTCAGTTCTTATGTACAAAGAATACCTTAGGTTATTTCCTGCATTAATCACTTAAACTCAATTCAACAACAAACTCATCACTTTTTAGCTAAGTCGAAATACGTTCAGAATTCTTAAAGCTATTATCAGACAAGATTGAGACAAAACCTGAAATCAACTACCTAGTGACATCTTGTCAGAGATTTCCTTAAAAATATTTGGAAACTGTTTACTGTTTATTATATACTTCCAGTTTTACCAATTCCAAACAGCGTAACTGTACAATACAACATCAACCATACTATTCTTTATTAAAATCGAAAATACATTGAAGAAAATTAATAGATAAAAGTACATTAGTACTGCTGGCGCCTGTACTCTCTGATAACAACGCTCCAATATCTTCAATAATAAATTAAATTACTGTTACGTGAATTATCCGAGGAGTTTGGCACGTGTCCGTCTGCCCACAAGATTATATTAAGCGCCGATAACCTTGAAATTTCCCTTGACATTAGCAATCTGTTATTCCAAATCGTGGATGTCAGTGACTCCTTTATCGCGAAGGCATTTCGTGATAATGATAAACTTTGATAATAATACGTGACGTTGTAAGATTTCTTTTTGTATTCTAATGTTATTTTTAGTTGTTTGTTTGTGTCTTGAGGCTTCCAGGGGGCGCGAAGGGTTTCTAATTCTACTGTATTATACATTGAACATTTACATTCTACTGTCAGAAAATGTTTAAGACAACAGTTTCATGCTTTGAATTACCTTGATCATAATTCATGACCAACAAAAAATATGCTGAATTTATTCACCAGCTTAGAAAAGAATATCATAATCAGCATAGAATATCAAAAACATCTTTATAAACAACTCAATAGAATTGAATAGGTGAAGCCAATATTACAATGCAACCAAATATTATTGTCTCTATCATTGTGTTTGCTCCCTGTGTATTTTGGACCATCAATATGAATAGGTATCAAACGAAAAAACAAATAAGGCTCAATTTCGTTCACTACAATTCACAAGTTCCAACGACCTCAAATCAATAGATCGCGCTTATAAAAGTCCAATCACATTAGTCTCAAATGTAATGATTGTTACTTTCTCTGCAAATCTGTGACGCAGTGGTCGGCCTTGCGGTGGCCTAGCCAGAGGGCTTCGCAAACTCGATTGTATGATTCGCTAACAAGCCAGTCGCAACACACCCACTCGAATTTGTGCAATGTGTCTGGGGCTTAAGATTAATATGGAGGTAAATAGACTTGCTAAGCTGATAGCTAGGTGGTTTAGTAAGATTGGAATTCCATGTAAATCAGATAGTGGTTTAGCCTATCTAGTTACTTATCATAATGGAACTAAAGGCTCGTGTAAGAGTGGATGAATTGGAAGTAGGCAATATGGCGTAACCAATAATAGATTGGCTGAACTAACACCTCACTATGCCTCAGAATGAAGTCACACAATATGATGTTATCAAAAGTATACAAAGAAGTTTCTACTCACTCATAATCCGCAATTGCATCAAAAATCCCCCTGTACTTCAATACAGGGTGTATAACATTTGATTCTATCGCTTTCGGTGACGAAATGTGTTTCAAAACATCAGCTACTGACACCCAAACACCTTCGACCTCCTTTTCAATGCGAAGCTGAGTTTGTGGCTGCGTGAAGTAGTTCTTCAAGGTACTGTGGAATTTGGTACCTACTGCCATTTGCGCTGTGGAGAAAAAGAAGAACGCATTAATATTATTTTAAGACTCAAATTACATTAAGGTCAGTAGGGGCCATTTTTTATTAGCATTTTTTTGTCTTCAATGCCATTTAGGTATGTAAATATTTATTTATCTGCAAAACTTTCTTAAATTATGTTTTTAGTGTATTCTGTTATACATGCCATTAGCTCAATCTAATGTCTATTCTAAATAATTGTAACTACACCATTGAGAAAGAATATAGTAGCACTAAACGATGAATGATACACTGCTTGCTCTACCAATATTCTTTGACCAATCTCACACAAGGACACATCATTCACTTAAAACAAATATGGAATGGTACATGGTTGCTATATAATGAATTATCTAATACTCTCTGTGTGTCGCTACTTCAAGCGCCATCCAAATATAGTTCCTTTGTAAGCTTCACATACTTTCTAATTAATAGTCACATGTCTTGGCAGTAACACTAGTTTGATATTAAATATCAAAAATCTTTCTCTCAATTGCTTCTCATAGCTATGTTGCTTGGTAGTATTACATGAATAGAAAAACATAACAGCCTATCCTAAACTGAGTCAATAACATCCATTGGTTAACATTTGTCAAGTTAACATTATCAGACAGATTCATAATTTTATATTGGCAAATATGCAAATCTTTGTATTATATTTAACTTTCGTGAGACAGACTAAATAAATTATTATGTTTTCGTCTTACTCACGTAATTATTTGACGAGGAACTCGACCATGTTCAAGTTCAAGTTTTAAGCCATGCTAGAAGCTACCAGTAGCAGCGTGACATTCGCCGCGTCGCGAGCTCGCGGGTCGCGAAATGCTGCTCATGAATATGAGCCTCTAGCATGGCTTGAAACTAGTCGAGTTCCTCGTCAAATAATTATGTGAGCAAGCCGAAAACATAATAATTTAATTCTTTATTAGATGCTGTGTCGGACAATGATGAACTATGCTAATGGAGGATTTGCCTTTAACAGTTTTTATCGTCAGTTAAAAGTTTAATTACAATTTATTGCTAAATTATTGTAGCAAAAAGGTATTTACGTATGTAGGTATTTATATGGTACTTACAATATTTAATATTAACATAACAATGACATAGCATCTCTTACTAATTTTAAATTTTGTTGTGCCTGACAGAGTCCGTAATTGTTACTATTGTATTTTCTAACCACCTGTATGTGTACATTATGGATGCAATAAATAGGTACTTGATAACTTGATTAATTAGGTATTATAACGATAAGTTAAAATGCTAAATGTAAGTAAGTAATAAATAAACATTATGATAGCACTTTGATATAAGCTAAAATGCTTAGCATAACTAAGTAATAAAAAACATTATCATACCTACATGGCTTATTACAAAAACATAAAAATAATCTATGTGCACTTCTGCCTACCCCTACGAGGATAAAAGGTGTGATGTTATGTTATGTTATGTTATAAAAATAATTATAGCTGGTACTATAGTACAGAATAGTACCTAATAAATAGCTGTATATTATTTTTATATATTATGTTGCTAAATATGTAATAAATAAATAAATTGGTAAGTACTAAATTGTACTAAATATTTTTTTTTTGGTAAAAATACATTGGTGTACCAGACATTGGTATAGTTAGTTAATCAAATTATTATCACATTATCAATATATCTACCTAATTTATTAATTTGGTAGTTAATTATCATTAGATGACAATGACAATCCAAAATACTAATGGAATGTATAATTTTATGTCAGAAACATTTTTTTTTCTTTGCAAAGTAAGTAGGTATTATTACTTAATATTAAGTTTTATAGGTTTTGTCTTCACCTACGGTTAAAAGATAAAAGTTAGTAAAGCCACCACACATTACGAAGAAGTCTAAATAAAAGAGTTGTTATTATCTAAAAGTGTTACAAAGCAACTTACAGTAGCAGTTTTGTCAGGCCATCTATCCAAGTTCTGCCAAACAAAGTCATTTGCTGTGTAACTGGTCACCGGAATATCGCTGAATGCGGAAGTCAGTATTTTTTTTTCTGGAGCATTAGAACTCTTTGGTCTAGTTGCGATAGACACAAAACCAGTCTTCTGTTTGTTTAGAACCTTTAGCACTTTGCTCCTTACAACACTGGCCATGTTTGGACTTTAGATTCAACTGCAAATGATAACAATTTTTTAGCACATCACACGCAAACATTAGTATTTATCACTGAACACAAGTATGTTCTTATTTTAAATAAATAATTCTAATCGTGTTTCGAATTGAAATTAAGATGGTCACTTGTCTGCATTCAAATAAAGAACATAATAATTCACACAATAATTTTCCTTTCTATTATTTATTTTTAAAATTACGCACGTACTTCAATTTTTAAAACAAGTGAAAACATAAGATTCCTCCTGATGCGGCTGCCGTATGGGAGTGTAGGAATTTAATTTATTCAAAACAACATAATAATATTCTTAGCGAGAAACCTGATTTTCTTGAACAAATCACGTTCAATTTTTATAAGTAAGTAATTTTTGAAGTAATTTGTCGTATGAAAGGTACTAGAGTAATTCAGTTAGTAAATGCTTGTATATAGAAAACAAAAAAAGAAAATTAAAATTGTTTACGTTAGATGGAAAGTAATCAAATAAAATATTTACGGCGCTCCACACGTATCGTCTCACACAGCTATTACACCCGAGCCTTCGTAGGCAACTGAGAAAAGCAAATTGCAGTACTATTATTTGTAGTACTATTCACTTCCAACACATACACACATTTATTATTATATTTGATAATAGCAAACTCAGTTTACTTCTCAATCTTTGTGTCCTTGGACTTTGAAACTACAAGACATTAACAACTACAACCGGACATTCACTTTGTTTTCGAAGTTAACAAGTTAACATATACAAATTACAACTACGTAAACACGAAAAAATTCAAGCGCTAGTATTTAGCCCGATTGTATGAGTACGAAAGAGAGGTCAGATTATTTCAGAGTTGTTCCGCTGTTGTATATAAATTCGTAGTAGTATACGTTAACAGCTGGTTGTCGCTTCAATCTACGCAAGTTTGTCACGAAAATAAGTAATTTACATAAAAAACGTATTGTAATAAAATAACACAAAAATAATATTACGTATATAAACAAAATGTTTTGTTAATTTACGTATGTCATAAGATGTAAATGGTGAATTTTGTCATTATTTTGAAGCATCATTCTATACTTAATATACTCATACTCTTTGCATCATTGTAATAGGGCCAGCAGAGCAGAGCGTGGGTTCTCTTGCAAATTTTATTTAACTCGGTGGATTACAACTTGTAGTTAGTCAGATTTATAGCCAATTTATATGCATTATTTGTGTAGGTGAGTAGTAGGTACAATTCAGAGTTGTTTTCATTAACCAATGTGCAGAAGGACTGTTACACACACAGATATTCTGTGGTTACACAGTCATTTAGGTAGGTAGGTATCTATATATATATTTAGCACTTATTAATAACAATTCTATGTGGTAAGCATATTATCGTACATGTGATGCATGCACGGCACTCCGTGCTTTTGTGTACCTACCTACAAAGAACCAGTAGATGATAGCAGTGGCGTGCACAGGTTTCCGGGACAGGGTAGGCAACTTATTGTATTGTATGAGTAACACCTCCCCCCCACCTCCGTCGTATACTTATATACACAAGATATACATAAGACATTTTATAAATGCGCAAGAATATTACTTTTTTATTCTTCTGCCAAATTTTCGTCACACTGCCATCTCGCGTAGTTTTTGTGAAGTATTTCATCAGCTATCGATTTAGCCAACTAAACTTATAAAATCAATTTTTCTCCTAGATGTGTCATTTATTAAAGTACTCAAGCACAAATTCAATTATAGAATTATTATGTTTCATCAAAATTGATTTCAAATCAAAATATATTGCGATTTTATGAATGTAGGTATGTCATCAAACAAAACAATAACAAGCGCGGCCGGCTGTGGTCGAGCCGAGTATCAGCGGTATATTTGTTATTAATTAGTAAATGATGATAGGTACTTGGCTCCAACGCCGGAATCGAATACACATATCTCTTATTTCCACTCCATCATTAAGTCTTTTCAAAATTAAACATTTTGTATTCTGCCCCAGTCAGAAACCCATCAAGGCCCATTATATTTAGTTTTAACTAATGCAGTCTAAGTTGTGACAGTTCCTTTATATTATCATCTGGATAATAGGTAACTACCTCGTTTTATTAATTTAGGCAATTGGACAAATAAAATGTAAAAATAATGCTATATTATTTAATATCAGAGAAATACAGTGATATAAACTTAATTCAGACCTTACTTTAGACGGCTGAGGACAGTGAGCAGTCAAAGTATTAAGAACGCGTAAAATTATACAAATTATTAAAATATGCCTACCTAACAAAACATACATACAAATACATTTTATCTATACAGTTCAAAAGGTTAAACATAGAGTGAAAAACGTATAAGTAAATACTACAGCAAATCATTTGTTATAATAATCAGTTTTTTAGAATTATTTTAACAAAATATTTTACATGTTATACAAATTGTTAGGCACAAAAGAAATTGCGAAAATCCTTCTTGTAAACACAATAAAAACTAAACAAATAACCTTTTTCGGAAGGGCATAAAAGTAATAAATGCTGTTTAAATCTTATGTTAAGAAAACTTAGTCTTGAACATATTCTGGTATCGCTATTAATACTTCAGCCCCGCTTAGGGAGTGGACTCGGCATTAGTATTCAATTCACAAAATTGAGTAGTGACCAGCAAGTCAACCTATAGGTTGAAAGGTATACCTTTCTGTCAGATTCCTTTATTACATTTTCAAATTTTGCTTTTTGAATATAAAGTCTAAATTACAATGAAACTTAATAGACTAGGTTGGCAGCAGGTTACCAATGGACATTAATCCCAAAACCAGCTCTCAGAAAATGTAACCTCATGAATACACACGGCGAGTGCAATCCCTAACAAAAACGAAAGTAAATAAACTCAAAAACCTCTGTAAAATACTTCTAAAGATTTCACAATACTATTCTGCATATAATCAAAGATACATTGCAGGGTCCAAGTTAGGAAATAAGCATTCAAGGTGAAAGAAAACCTATTCATTTTGGAAGGATATCTTTAGTAAATTGAACACAATTTGTACCAGTATTGGACTAGTAGTAACTCAATTTTTGGCAACTAAGGATAACATTCTACATTCACAGATTTTTGTAGAAATTCTACAATAAACATTATATTATGATATAGAAACAATTCGTGCAAATTAGTTTACAAGTATACTGTTACATAAGTTTTAATGTGATTTAGGCTAATCCGAATACAATTTTCTAGATTTTTTTTACTACTAATAGGTACTCCGAACTTAATATTAACTTCAAATTATTATGGTAGCTTTTTATCAAATCTTCGTATCTAAACAAGCGACAGGAATAAATTGCGAAAACATAACGATAACTCACATTCGATCCAGTTATCAATTAGTTCCAAAATCAATTAATATATGCTTATTTCATTTTATTCTTTAAAATAATATAATAGGATAATGTAAGATAAATACCTATACATAACATGTTGGCGTGAATAAATGAAGCTAATGGCCTCTTACATACTTGATGGAACTATAGACCAGTATGAAAATGAAATTAATATAATTTTTAGCTTGTATACTAATTAAATAGTGCAAGTTACATTAAAATGGCGACTAAATATAGCAATGAACATACAGAAGCCACTTTCCAAACATTAATTGTTGTTGTATAGTATAGTACACCCATATTGACAACTTTTTAAAGAAAATACCTCCATATTTAAATTGCTAAACTTAAAATCAACATCAATCTTTTAAAGGCTACTAAGAATAGCCGATTGACAATTTTGATGATCTCATTCACATTTATCCAGTCTTTTATTATACACACATACTCTCATCCTACTGATTTCAAACTATTGATACCTATAGTTTCTTCAAAACGTTATCTAGGTACATTTTTATAGAATATAGTCGCAAAGGAGCTGGACGGTTCACTGATAGTTGATTTTAAGCAATCGGAGCCGCCGATGTATTGTAACACTAGAGTAGTTACATACAGGGGTTCGGCCTCATTCACACAGCGAAACAGACCCTATTGCGTTGTTTCACGGTTGTTTGGATTGTCGTGGTATCTCTCCGGTTAAGCCGGTCTGTTCGTGTCTAAGAATGGATCTCCCAATTAACAAATTCGTATATTTCCTTCCATACTAGACATATTAATGAAATATTCCACAAAATAATATATTACACTCGAAGTCTTGTCATAAATCCTTGACCGATCATTCTTCACAGCTTCAATAGAAATAGGCATTACGCCAACTATGTCACATGAAAAATCAAATGGGCCAAAGTATTTGTAACATCTCCGTACATTGCTTTATTTTAAGTTCGTTACCTTGTTGTTCTGAAAATTCTTTGACATAGAGGTAAATGACATCGGTTAAAATAAACCTTATCATTGAGGAATAAAGGTGGGAGTTACTAGGTACGAACAATCGATATTGATTAAAGCAAATCACATTATTGACGTATTGTTTGCAAGCTGTTGATGTCGATTTATTTGCAGAGAGACCTACATCGTTCATTTAAAGCCACTTATTTATTGTCATCGACATATACTAATGGACATGCCGTACCAGAAATAATCTGCAGTAATTTTTTGGTTTGAAAAGAGTGAAAGAGATAGCCTATGCTTTCGGTCTAGCGCTATCTCTTTCTCGCTCATTACGTCTTAACTACGGTACTATTTTGAGAGAGATAAAGATAGACCGAAACTTCGTTTCCTCTCTTTCTTTCGGAGTGCCACAATTCTCATCTATAAGGCATGTCCATTCCAATTATGTCGATGTTCAATGTATTATTATATATTAGAATAGAATTTTCCTATTGGTAACTTCCTAGTGTGTCAACAAGGTATCAAAAGTTTGAAATCAGTTTCTATACAAAGCCTTCTCACTAATTCCCGATACTTCCAAGTGTATGGTAGCGTGAATTGAAGCCACTTTGCACTTCGTTTCTTAACTAATGCCTTTATAATAATGTGTAGGAAACAACACGTGAATAAGGC